AACACAAATAAAGTAGCATATATACTGATTTGTAATTGAGTTTTTAAAAGACTTTACAAAAACAGAAGGTGCTTAGAGAAGAAGATCCTCGTGTTGGGATGACAAGGGGTAACATGTTCAGTTAGCAACGTGCTGTCACCAATTCTGGTCACACACTTAATCAGAAAGACCAAATACATGCTGTGTCTCTGACTCTGACTTAAGTCCAGGAAAATGGCAGCAAAAATTTGGTCCAAAATGAAGAATCAGAAATTTCTCTGGTAGACAGAAATACTGTAATTCTTCCTTCCCAGAGATTCAGTCATTAAGTCACATAGACACACAAGCTTGCCTACAACTCTTCATTTCCCAACAGATGTACAGCAAGAGCAAAAACAAGGAAGGCACTGAGTGTTCACAGGCGGGGGGGGGGCTTCCTATGAAGATTGGGCCACCACAATAGATACATCATATATGCATAATGCAAGTGTCTTTAAGGAGACAAAATAATTTAGTAAAGAAAACCCAGAACCACCGTTAATCTCCAGTTTGCGTAAAAAAGACACTAGATGGTGCTGTGAACCAAGAAGTGTATTATTTGTTAAGGTGCTAAGGTACGTGCGCCTGAGCGGCCGGGAAGGGAGATCCTCCTCTGCCAGCACCTCTCCGCTCTCCTTACCCTTTCCAGATCAGCACACCTCACTTGGCTTGTGAGAGATATTTGCCAGTCATGGCTTATGAACCAAATGAGAATTTATTTAACTAGATTTACATGTATTTCCAAACAAAACTAGCCTTGAGTTTGTTAATGACAGTGAAGCAAGAAGAGATGTGAATTTGAGATCAGATGACTTCAAATATTTGGGGCAAAGTCCATGCCCAGTTAAGACTTGGCTCTTTAGGGAAGGGGACAGCTACTAAGATTTTGATTTGACAGCCATGTTTGTCAGAAAACACATTCTTACAAATTCACTGGAGGTGAAATTGTCTATATAAGGTCACTTTTCTTTTCTTTCCTAGTGTCCTTTCTGAAGCAGTGCCCTTGTGGAACCTGTTCTATCAGATTAGTGTTGAGGAGACAATCAAAGCAGAGCAGTGAGCCTCCTTCCACTTCTGCTCACTGGCAGAAAGCTTTTTCCCAATGGGTTATTATAGCTCTGTTCAGATTCATGGGGCTACAAAACAGTTTAGCAGTTGACTACACAGATTTTAAAAAAAAGCACACAAGGTCCTCACTGAGGAAAATATAAGCTTATAGAAAATTTACAAGAACCAAATGTGAGGCTGGTGAAATAGGTCAGTAGGAAAGGCACCTCCAAGCATGACAACCTGAGTTCAATCCCAGACCCACATTGTAATTAGAAGGAGAGAACTAACAAGTTGTCCTCTATTCTCCACCCAACTGCTGTGATTCACACCTTGCCATAAATAAATACATATAATTTTCTTAAAAAGAACTAATACAATTTTAGTATGTCTTACTCCAGTAATTTAAAAAAAAATTAGTGTAGACCCTTAAGAATCAGCTGTTTAAAAATGGTTTAGAAGATTTCATTTTTAGTCTACATTAGAATTTTAGGAACTTCAAGTAAAGTCTTAGTATTTTTTTTAAAAAATCCAAACATTTAAATTATCATTGTCCTCATAGGACATATTAAGTTGGGTTTTGAGTAAACCATTTTAGAACTTTGAGACTTTACTTTCATTCTGACAGCTCTGAAAAGCTTGAAGGTTTGAAGAATCTGGGTATAGTAGCTATATTTGATTGGCGAAGATTGTAACCTGGTAACTGGATGTTATCGGATTAGCCTGGTATCCTTTCAAAGTCCACCCAATACAATATATTCAGATGAAGAAATCACCCACTTCAGAGGAGAGAACAGCAATCTGGACACGTGTTGTCTCTTCTAGAATCCATCTGCTTTATATGAATAATATTTGAATAGTATCAGAATTGCTTTGTCTTTGGTTTTACTACAGAGAACCAACCCAGGAATTTACCTGTTTCCAAAAAAAGAAATAGGACAGGAGACACCAGGGACTGCCACCAGGGGTCGGCACAGCCAAAGACTACAGCAAGCCCAGGGAAAAATAACCATGAATGTTAATCTGCCAGCACGAACCAAGCCATTTCGTTTTCTCAGAGGCTGGGAGCGCTGTCGGACCAGGAACCGTGTTGCCAGTGGGTTTCTCTAGGGCTAGAGCAGTAGAAATAGGACTTGGTGTCTTACAAGGCTCTTTCCTGTCTAAACACTTAGGGAGTAGCTCTGCATTGAGCGAAACTTGGTTCACAAGGGGTTCTTTCAGTCAAAGAATGGGCCCTGGCCTGAGCCCCCCCCCCACACACACACACACACACTCACTCTTTAGTATAGTAGAATTTGTGTTTCACCCAGTGTTGCTTCTTAAATGATCTATCAACATAGAAATGCTTACTTGTGAGTTGAAGCATGTGTCAGGAGGCACATATTCTGGAACTCTCCTAATAGTGCCAGACTTGTGACCCTTAGTGTAACTTCTGTTCCCACTGTGGTCTTCTCCTTAGCCATCTTCTGATTGCCTCCTTTCATAAGTGGGCTAAAGGCTGCTCTACTTCTATTCTGGTGAGGCCTTTAAGAGGCATGTCCCTTCAAAAGATGACAGAACCTGAAAGTGTAACCCCTACTTGCCCTACTGGAGACTTAGATTGTTGTTACTCAGGCAGCTCCTAGTTGGGCAAGTGCTCTGCTATGACCCTCAGCAATCCCCTTTATGATATCTTAGTGTTTTAGTCATTTTTAATTACCAATTCAGCACTTTTGTCCATTTAATAGATGACTATAAGGTTAATATGTGATCACTCAGAACCTGTGCTGTATCAAGATCTTCTTCCTCCTCCATCCCTTATCTATATATAGTTCCTAGATTTTATTACCAATCTGAATGCTTGTATGCACCTAACTGCTTCTCTCTTGGGCCCACAGCCCACTGTTCCCTCCTTGTCAGCATCTCTTGCACATGGTCTCTGCTCTTATTCCAGCAGTGACTACACCAGTTAGAAAGTTAGGGCCCATCACCACTCTTTTCAGCAACCTGCTACCTTGTCTCTCCTAAGGATCTTGGAACCTGAACTGCCTAGATGTACCATGGGTCACTTCCGCTATTCAGCTTCCATCATCAGGGTCTCTCTTACAGCTACAAGCCAGGGCCAGCCAATGTTCTTCTGCTTCTGCCTATATATTCCCATAATTGTGCTCTGTTCCTTCACCCACCGAGAGGTACTACTCCTTGAAAGATACAGTTTTTTTCCATTTCTCACATCATGCCAGGTATTCTCTAGTGGGTTTTAGTATCTTTTGTTGTCACATCCTTTAGTCTTAAGAAACAAGAGACACAAAGAAAGGCTACATTGTAATGTTGAAGAACAAAATCCTGGTGCACATACATTCTAAACAAGCATACTATCACAGAATTACTGGCCCAGCTAGATCAAGAAAGATCCTTGAGCCCATTTGTTGTTCATAGTACAGGTCAAACACACATCTAAATTTATTTTCAAATCCAAGATGCTCCCTACTGCTTGTTTTCTGGGGGGGCGGGGGAGCGCGTAACTTCATTCCTTAAACATGCTTCCTTAGATAATAGACCAATTGCCTGTTTGTGTTGCTTTTCAAAAAAAAAAAAAAGTCAAATGGAGCTGCTTATTTTGTATCAGACTCTATTATAAAACTGGTTACATCTGACTTTACCCTCAGAGTCCCCTAGGAGATGGATATATTGCTAACTCTGTATTAGACTTTAAGAGACTTTGAACAGAAACCACCAGTCTGTTGTCCTGGGCATGGAGGCTGTAGGAGCAATCTGGGCATGACAAGCGGGTTCAAAATGCATTCTCTTATTTCTTTCTATACTTTGGAGGCCTTGACCTCTATATGAGAGTGAGTATCTTACATTTTGTGATAGTCTCGTGTGGGGTTTAAGGGTCACACCTGGCCGTCTCCTACAACTTGTGAAGTGCTATGATACAGTCAGCTTGGGTCACTTCTTACCCTATTTTTAAGTTGACAGCTTTAGGAAACACCTTCACAGCCAACTTCTGTTATTCTGGCTCTTGCCATCTTTCCACCCCTTTTTCCTCAGTGTTCTCTTAAGAACAAGAATTGTATTACAGATGTATCTGCAGGGACTGAGCACCCCATGATTAGTTGTTCTCTATATTTTGTCTCGTTCAGCTTTCTGTAATTGTTTCCATTTGTTGCAAGGAGGTGAGAGCTACAGTTATCTGTGGTGTAAGGATGAGTAGACTCCAGTTAGACATCATGCTGCTTTAGTAAAGTGATACCAAAAACCTCCTCCAGTATCCATGACCTCACTGGCACTGGGAAAGTGGGCAGGTTTCCAGTACTGGCCTTAAGTCAAATCAGAGAAGTCATTGGTTGCCACCAAGATAGGGGTGCCACTATTGCACTGTTAATATCTTGCCATGCTGGTCATCATTGTGATTCATGGGTATTATAGCTGGGTAGGACAGTTGGTCACCTTCTTCCCTTAGTAGCTTTTATAGCACCTTTTGGTATTATGAAAGCTAATCCTCTGGAAAGAGACTTTCAAGTCAGATCCAGCTTGAGTATACCAGGTCTTATGTCTAAACTTCATGGTATCTTTAGCAATAGGGACTTATCTTCAACTTCCAGAAGGCAATCAAGAGCAGCTGCAATAGCTATATTGTTCTGAAGATGTCTTGGATACCCCCGACGAACAATCTAAAAGGAGATTTTTCATGCCTCATACTGGAGTTTTTATTTGATAATATATAGTGTTTTCGGGAAGCATTGTCATTCCAAGTGGGATGACTTCATTTTGAACTATACATGTACTATGTATACACACATTCTTAACATGTATTGTATATAGCTAATATGATTTGATAGTATTTTTAAAATACTGTTTCATTGGGGTCCTGATACCCAAAGATAACTATTTTGGTGGAACTCTACACCCTCACTGACATTTTTTTCTTCTCTTGCCTTTTTTATATACAGAGCATGGTCTTGGGCTTCGAGTGATGAACAACGATAATAACTCATCCGTGGAAAGCCTTAACTCAGCTTGCAACATGCAGTCTGATACTGATACTGCGCCACTTCTTGAGAATGGCCAGGATGCCAGCAACCAGGGAGCAGCGGCTGCCAGCTCCCGGGGACAGCCACAGGCGTCCCCAAGGCAGAAAATGCAACGCTCGCAGCCTGTGCACATTCTTCCTCTCAGGTGGGCCAGAACACGTGCTGTCTGCACAGACAGTGCACTCTGCTCTCCAAATGGTGATGGGCAGTGACTGTAAAGTCAAGTTAGATGAGTTTCTTCTCTTAATAGTAGCTACAGTTGTCACTCTATAATCTTGAGGAAACTGATGCACAATCCTAAAGCTGAAACACAGTCCTGACTCACACACATAGACACACACACACCGTTTACTGTAGTTCTCCCTACACATACATAACAATGATGAATTTTGGCTTACAAATTAGACACTATAATATGTACAACAATAATTAATAGTACAACAGAACAATTATAACACTCATGAAGTCACGTTGAGTGGCTCCTATCCTTCCTGTTGTGATAGTGAGATGACATGAAGTGGTAAGATGGAAAGAAGCAAGTGGGATATGTGTTGTGATACACTAGGTTGCTGCTGACTATCTGGGGGTATACTGTCAGAATTTTCAAGTCATGCTTCTGCCAGCTGACCTCAAAGAACTAAAAGTGCAGGTCTCAGTGGCCCTGGGTATGCTGTGTAGCATTTTAGCTTTTAGTGTGAACTTTGCTGCCTGGCTTAGCATCTACACCTTTTCCTGAGCTCCTGATTCCCAGCAGATACCATAACCATGCTCCAAGTTCATGTTCCTCAGAGTAGGGTCTATAGACCAGCTGCAATGTCCTCCAGGACCTACTCAAAAATATATAGTTCCTAACCACCATCGTGGTTCTGTTTTGGCCTTATCCATAGGGGACTGAACAGAAAAGCATATCTGTGTTAGCAAAAGAAGAGTACTGGTACCTTGAGGGAGCTTCTTGGGAGGTGGCAGATCTCTGAGCTGAGTTCATGATAATAAGAAAGTAGAAGATTGGAGAGTGGAGGCAAGGAGCAGATTTTAAAGACTTCTGTACTTTTCCCAGCAACTGGGCAGAGAAAAGTTTAGAACATATAAGAAAGGATACATTTTGGTTTAGGTAGTACAATTCTGAATTTGAGAGTTATAAGGCAGGGGGGAGAGAGCAACATAGCTGCAGAGTATGCACCCTGACATTAAAGCCATGTGAAGAGCCTACAGACCTGAAAGTGATGGGGCCCTCAATATGAAGAAGGGTGAAGTTAGGTGATGGCACTGCAGAACAAGAAGCAGTCACGCTCTGCGAGTACATGACTTTTATGTGGAGTTAGAGAGCACAGAAGAATAAGACAGTGGCTGATTTTGTGTTGAATAAAAGCAAGCAACATACTTAAGAGTATTAAGGAGATAATAGTAATTTTGTTGAGGGGAAGATAAAGAGCCCCGTAGTCATCTCTGGTTTATGAAACCAAGCTGAGGAAGGCAGCTCTTGAAGAGTACTGCCTTTGCCTGGCTCAGTCTCAGGACTCCCATGAGTTTCATGCTTGCATGACCGAGCAAGGATGGCAAGCCTTAATACAAACTTGTTCCTGCCCCTTGGGAATTCACAGATGTGTGTGCAGTGGACTGTGCTTGGGATTGTTGCCCAGCCTCTGTCCAGCTGGAGTTCTAGTGCTTGTACTTTCTCAGCACTGCCTATTCTAGGATGTTCCACTCCTCCTTGCTTCCAGAAACTCCTAAAAGGGTTCTTTATGGTCTAACATTAAGTCTTCTTCAGCTTCAGTAACCATCTTCCCCTAGATGTCTACTCTTTCCAAGGTTGTGGGTTCTGGGTTCACACTGTAGAAGGGCTCCCAATGATTCTCACAGGCTAGGTGAGCCAAGTGGAGGAAAGTATAAAGGAAAAGTCTGCAGAAGGCCCAGATGTTCCACAGGCTAATTGATGGAGCAGGAGGAGGGTTCTGGTGAGGGAGAGAATTATTTTCAAGTGTACGAACCAGGCAAGGTTTTGGAAGCACAAACACCTCCACCTCCCAGGTCCTGGCAGTTTTGTAGCCACCTTGACATCCCTGAATCCCAGGTCCTCTCCACAGACACTTTCATTTTGCAGCCTCAGGGACATCCTCTTTTGATGTGAGCTTCTGTAACAGGGATTGCTTTCATCTTTGTATAATGCCCCTTAATTACACTTCTGGGCAGTATCTGTGAAATGTCATAGCATAAAAAAAATAATGAGGTTAAAAATTGAAATAATTTATAAATTTTCAATACACCCTCATAAAGAAGGAGGCTTTTGTGAGCTGTGAAACATCAGAAACAGTCCTGTCTGGTTCTGTAGATCAAAGATGCTAAAGCTGAAACGGCTATAAGAAGATCACGATTTGTTAACAGTAAAAGTAAGCTTCCTGCCACATCATCAGGCTGATATAGGAACATCTTCCCCATGTTTCACAACACAAATTCCCTTTATGTCTTGAGAGAGCTGGTATCTTAATAGTCAGAGTATCGTTTCCTGGTCCACACAAAACAAACAGCTAGGCAGATCTTCCTTGAAGTCAGAGATTGGTTGGTAAGGCCAGTGATCACACAGTGAATTTTCAAATTGCAAATTCTCTCAGGACGGCTCATGGATCAATGATCTTATCAGACTGTAAAAATATTCAAAACTTATTTGAAGATAATATATAAAAAGTAGTTTCCTGGTATGTTGAAATAAGAGGAGGGCCAGACATTCTGAGCAGACCATGAGTGGACCCCACTCTGCCTGTCCTGAAAGGAAGGCTCTACACACTGGTAATGTCCCCTTACTGGTGGGTGGGTGGGTGGGTGGATGGGATAAAGTGCCTCCCCAGGAAGCCCCAGAAAATGGAGTCAGGAGGTTGCCATCAGGACTCTACAAAGAAAAGCACTGGGCATTTATTATCATTTTAGCTTTGACTTTGAACTTGATTTCTCTGCTGTTTTCATAATTATACCCAATTCATCATCCATTGCTTAATGGGCTGACAAGTGAGCTTTGGATTTTTCAAAGGGGAAAAGGAAGGAGAGATGACCGTGAAGAAGTGCCAAGGAATACACAGGAGAAGCTGAATCAATAAGGACATTCTAGGAAGATAGATACATGAAGCTTTGATTTCCAAACAGTATAGTCCTAAACACTTTGCTCATAAATTGATCATTTCCACAGTTCAGGTGAAGAAACAGGAAGCCTCCTACAATCAGATATGTGTTCATTTCAAAGACTTCAGGAAGTCCTGTTCTCTCAAAGCTGCCTTTATTCATCAAACCTTTTTATGTACAGGGTACACATTGAACAGATGCCAACAGAGTATACAGTATGCTGAGCCCAAAATATATGTTGTATAGTAGCCATTTTTTAAAGTGAACACTTGGGATTGATGGCCAGTCTCTCGGTCTTAGAGAACAGAAACTGTACTCACTAAATAGTAGCTCCCCGCCTCTCTCCTCTGCCCCTACCATTCTACTTTCCGAATTCAACTATTTTGTATGCCCTACACAATGTAGTCTTCCAGTATGTGTCCTTCTGCTACTGGATTTATAGGATATGTCAGAATTCCCTTCCCTTATTATGTTTTTTGGATAATTCTCTTTTTAAGGCTACATGATATTTTATCACAGAGACACACATATTCACAGTTGGACAGTTAGGCTACTTCCCAATTTGGGCCACTACGAATAATGCTGTCATGAACATGGTTGTACCAGCATCCACAGAAAGCCAGCATTTCCTTCTCTGGGGCATAGACCAGCAAGTGTGTACTGAGATGGCAAACTAGCTTTTGATTCCTCCCTTGTAGGCGCCTTCAGGAGGAAGACCCGCAGCTCAGAACTTCATCTCTTCCGGCCATCCCCAACCCGTTTCCGGAGCTCACTGGTGGGGCCCCTGGGGGATCTCCTTCGGTTGCTCCTAGCTCCTTGCCTCCACCTCCGAGCCAGCCTCCTGCCAAGCATGTAAGTGGTCCCTGACTACAGCACAGTGATGCATTTCTTTGTGGAGAAAGGAGGGAAGTTCTAAGAAGGAAGTTCTCATGAGTCCTTTTAATGTATTGGCCAAAATTCAATTTACTAAGTTAGGAATGTATCAGGATAGTTTTCAAAAAGAATTAGTTATGTATTTATATACTTATTTATTTATTTATTTATTTATTTATTCCTGGGGGCAGCATGTGTGCCATGATGCATGTATATAATTAAAGGACAATTTTCTTAAGTCAGTTCTCTCTTTACACCATGCCGGTCCTGGAGGATCGAACTCAGGTTCTTGGGCTTGGCATCCAAGTGTCTTTAGCCTCTCACCAGACTTAGGAATGCATCACTGGGCTTCAAAGAATCTTAACTGTGTTTTATTGTTGTTGTTGTTGCTACTGTTGTTTTTCAATTAATGATTTGATGCTTGAGGATGATTTTAGCTCTTTTAAAGAAATTGTGCGACCAGGTCAACCAGCTCTTCTGCTGTGGCACACCGCTGGGCCTTCCTGTGCGTGTTTACTCTTCAGTATGGGATACAATCAGAACTTCCATCTTGAGGTCTTGACTTCGAATACAGCCTGCTCAAGGCCAAAGAATGGCCACTTGGCCCAGGAGATAATAACTGCCCTTTTAACACTTGTTTCTCCTTTGAAGTGGTACTATGAAGTAGAGAACTAGTCACTGACCCCAGGTGAGAAACTCCCCAGTGACAGCTTATCAGAAACACGGGCAGGGAAATCATGTCATCTCAAACTCCCTGGGCAGTGGGCTGGGAACAAGATGGCCCAGGGATCAGCAGCATACCACACCCTGCTGTAGGGGCTAGAACAGAGACAGTGACTTTGCATGGAGGCTCTGCTCTGGGTGACGCACAGGCTGCTGTGGTGCTCGCTTACTGCTTTGGTCAGCCCTGTAAATCAGTACAGATGTCACTGTCTCCTATAGTGGAGGAAACTGAGGCCAGTGTCAGCAAATAGTGTGTCTGACTTAGCCTCTAGGCCTACAGTCCTCACAGGCTTCCTGCCACCTCAATTGCGTCTTTCACACTTGCAATTTAGAAGATTCTATTTTTCCCCACTAGACCCATTCCTCCTCCTACTTGCCCACCTCTGCTGTACTCTAACACAGAGGAGCCAGCAAGCCCCATTCTCTGCAGTCTAGTGGCATACAGCACCAGGCTCTCCAGCACTAGGCTTTTTTCTAATACTCGCTGGCTTGGGAACACTGCTCCCCCTGAGTGTCTCTCGAGCCGCCCACATTACAGCACTGTCAGACTTAGAAGGTGAGGTCAGTGTTCCTTGTCTCAGAGCCAGCACTGTCCTGGCTTCCGCACAGGGTCACATGCTGAAGTGCATCTGGGCTGTCTACCTCCCTGGTGACCTTCTGCCTTGAGTAAGGATCCTGATGATCGTGTATGGTTTGTCCCCGAGGTTGTTTACAAGTTTCCTGTCCTGAAGTAGACCACAAAAGTACTGTCTGGCCCTTGCCTTGGCTGGCAAGAAAATGAGCCTCCTCCCCACCGATTGTCCAAATTTGTAAGAATAAGGAAACCCGGGAATTTTGCCTGCTCGTGTTTTTCTTGGGATCAGAGTTGGCTCTTCATGAGAACAGTGCATTGGCGTGTTTGTCGTCAGATTCCTCAAGCCAACTGGGACCAGTGAGAGCAGGGAGGGTGTTTCTCACTTGTGGAAGACTGTTGTTCTTTGTAACTGTTTTTAGTTCTATTTTGTATTTACTCTTTGATAACTTCATGTATGTAAAATGTATAATTTGATCAATATCACACTCTTTCTGAGTCTCTTCTTCCTTAGAAGCCCTAGCCTACTTTCTTGTATTTTTGTGGTTGTTAATTTTTTTTTATCACATCTATTTATTTAGTAGGGGCACACATGCAGTACAGTGAGTGGAGATATCAAAGGGCAAATTGAAGGACTCAGTTCTCTTCTTTCATGTAGATCCACAGATCAAACTTACTTCCTCGGAGTAGAACCCTGGTACTTTGATATGCAGAGCCATCTCACCAGACTTTTTGGGTTTGTTCTGACCCATTGAGTTTTATTGAGGGTAAAGGTTATTTACCAAGCATGAGCAACTTATTAATAGCTACGCCACTGAAGAAAGTCATCCCATACAGGGGCTATGCCGATAGCATAGAGTAAGCTAAAACCAGCTTGTTACCTTCCAACAAATACTGCCCTGAGTACAGCTTGTCTGAGGGGCTGTGTACTCAGCAGCCTGGTGGGACAGCTTTATTAGGAAGGGTCTGAGGGACCCCATATCACTGAGGACTGGCACAGTTACAGATGACAATGATACTAACATGGCTACTGGATTTATGGGTTTCCAAGTTGTCTCAGCCACTGTCAGGATATATTTAGCTGCAGAAAACCAAACCTGGCTGACTTCCTTCATGAGGACACTTAACTTTCATGGAGTAGGATATCTGGGGCAGAAAGCAGAAGCTTCCCTGACCTTGTTCAGTGTTGTGGAACATATACACTGTCTCTGTAGGCAGAGCTGGTGTAACCAAAGTTGGGCCTGTCATTAAGCACAACCTTTCTACCTCAGTGGGTGAGCCAGATGCTTGAACACATTCAGTGGTGACAGGGGAAACTGAGATACTATCTGGAGTGCACTGACACACCAGACATAGCAGATAGACTCATTGTTGACTTGTACTGTTCAAGGGCAGAACTTCTGAGAAATATGGGGGATCAAGGGAACTTGGAAGTCTGATTCATGATAGGTAGTGCTGTAGACAGGACCTTTTCTGAATTCACAACAAGCTCAGCAATAGCAGACTTCTCTTTCAACCAGTAGAGTTTCCCATGACCACATAATGACTCCTTCGAGCATGTTTTTCCATTGGCTATTTAAACACAATTAGTCTCATATTTTGTGCCCCATCATTAATGGTGCATAAATACTGCCTCAACTCCAAACAGTTCTTTTCTTTTTGCTTAATTTTAAAAATTAATTTTCTGGAACTGAATTGATGGCCTTACACAGGATTCCACTCCTACATTTACTGAAAACCACTGGGGTCTTCCTAGGCATTACCTGCCATTCTGTGAATGCACTGCCACTTGAGACCTCCATATAGTGGGAAAATCTAACCCTGGCCATGACTGAAGAGTAGGCTCTCATCTACATGAAAGCCTGAGCCACGTATTCACTAGTCCTTCTGCTCTTAGTGCCTCCACAGCTTGGTGTGCCATCTTTTCTGGTGCCTTTTGAGATCAGAAGGATTGAGACCTAGACCTAGCTGAAGTTTAATTTGAGTTCTGGGACAGCAGCCTGAGGCAAATTGTGGCTGCTTAGAGAAGTCTCTAGGCTCGAGATAGATCTGAGATGGGGATGCAGAGTGAGACAGAGACAATGCCAGTATCCCATGACAGCCCAGTATAAGACATACCAACTCATCTGTTGTCAAAAGATAGAATTCTCTGTTTGACATACCCATCTCCTTTTCCTCTGACCTCTTACTCATATCTCTCCAGGTGGCCCTGGCTGGTGGCCTGTCTCCTCTATACTAAGAGGCAAGCCCAGTGTGTAGCGGGTGAGCCCAGGCTCATGCATTAAGATGGCTGTTGGCCCCTTCAGAGCAGCAGCACCTTAGAAAGCCTCAGTTCCCTGTCTGTCAGAGGAGGCTGGTGTCACTGGCTCTAGCCTCTCAGAGCAGTTGTGACATTAATTCAGCACATAGGAAAATGTAGGCACAGTGCAGCTGCTTCCTATATTTGATACAAGACCTAATGCCACAGCTGCCACTGTGGGTGCTTATTTTACCGTCTTCTTCTCTTGTGGAGTAAACAGACCACCAGAGACTTGCTCAAATCTCAGCCAAGGCCCAAGAAGGGCAAGGCCACTTTGCACAGTCAGTAACTAAAATGTCAAAAGAATAGAATTTGTATCTGAGACCATTTACATGTAAGTCCTTTGTTGAAGCAAGGTGCCACAGCAAATCCTGAGTAACAGAACACCTCTAAGCCGAACATTCATACACCATCTCATTAGGAGTACCCATGTGAATTTACCAAAAGCAGCCAGGCAAAACCACTAGCTTGGGCTGGGGATATAGTTCTGTGGTACAGGATTGTCTACCAAGTGCTAGGCTCTAGGTTGGGAAACATGTTTATTCCATAATTTGGGAAATTTTGCATTTTCTCCCATGTTCTTGGGAATTCACATTTTCTACTTGGTCTTAGACGACCTGAAAAAGTTAACAAAGAAAACTCAAGTTAACCTAGAGCTTTTTGAATGTTTTTTTTTAAAAAAAACTTTACATATTTTAAGTATCAAATATTACAGATTATAAAAATATTCACATAGAAACAGTTCCCACTGAGCCTACTTTGGATATGATGCTAAATTGCCCAAGATAAAAGTGAAGGCTGCCCCCGACTGTCACAGTTGATTGGTGGTGTTGCTAAGTGCTTAGAACATTACAGCCTCTGGAGCCAGAGCATAATCCCTCTTGCTTGGACGACGTGAGACGTGCCGGTACCTTCATGTCTCTGTTAGCCTCTGAACAAATGATGCAATCTCAGCAGGGAGCCGTGACCTAGAGCCGACCATGTACTTGGCTAAAAATGAGACAAGAAATCATCCCAGGAATCTCATGTGAAATCCCAGCCTAGTGTTTCTCTGCACTATAAATATCTTATATAAATTCTATAAATTTGAGAAGCCTAGCTGATTACTACAGTCTCAGATCTCTCTTATCTTGAAAGAGTACTGCAAACATGAGCCTTTAAATTTTATCTTGTGGAAAGAACCACCAGCCTTTAGCTACAGGAATGAATGAGTCTGTGCCTTCCCTGCACAAGGACCAATGTGATAAGATCCTTCTGCAGAATCAGAGACCAGCAAGAGGAAGGGCTTATTTTCTGAATATTGGTAATTTTTTTAAAAAGCCTCCAAGTCTGCTAGAATCCAGAAATCATTTTCCTGGGAAAATTGATTTGCGAATTCTTACTTGA